TTGTCTTTTGTGATCTCTCGCTACCAACTCTGCCATGTATGACAACAGCATATATACGTGGCAGTTCAGAGGGTGCTATGAGCCAAGCTCTGCAGTAGAGGTTTGACAAGTTTACCAATGTGTTCAAACGTCTGCAAATGCTCTACCCAACGTACACCGGGGAGACGACGATACTTGGAACGAATCCAAAAAATTCGATTATTCGAATAAAAATTCAACTATATAGGCATTCAAAGTTCAAAATTTGGACTTTTCTGTTTTCGAAAAATTCGAAAACTCGAATAACCAAAAGACGGGGTTCAGGACAGATTGTATTGGAATGCTTTATTCGAATTCGTATTCGAATGAAATCTGTTTTTGAGTTATTCTGATATTCTGATTGTTGCACAGGCAACTTCTGAGTATCAAGCTCGCTTCGTCTGCATTTTTTTCTGCAAAACCCGACAATGCCCCCACAATGGTCGGCCGCCTCATCGTGGCGTGGGTGTGACACTGTCGAAATGCGATGCACAGCCGTGTGTATATTAGCAGGGCCTCCCAAACTGTAAAGCAGTTCGACGTTTTCGGTCTCGGCCGGATGCCTAGCTAAGATGCCTAGGTCAGATCCACCGCCGTCTGGTTTTTTGGCGCTACGTGGTTCCCCCCTCTCCAAGTCCGGAGTCAGCGACCGCCCTGTGGAAATCAAGAGTTGGCCCAGTAGGTCTGCTCTTGTAGGGGAAAAATTATTACTCCTCAAGTTAGAAGAATAGAAAAAACCCTGCACATAGTACCCCGCCTCTGGCGCAGGGTGGTAGCAAGAACGATGTCGGGGTCCTCAGGGCGGCTTCTGGATTGGACAAAACGACACGTCTGCTTGAACGACAGGCCATGCAGACTGCCTCATGCTCTGCACCTACAACGCCAGGACAGTCTCCACAAACGCGACTTCCACGCTTTTCTCGACGCTGTAGTGCAGAAAACTCATCTATCCAGCTAGAGGCGGGGCTAACGGTGCGCAACTTACTGACAGATGCCTGCCTCAGCGCGCGCCATCGTTCATGAAGTCCGCCACCCCTATTTTGACAAGAAACACATACTTGAGTTACTACAGTCTCAAACTCGCTGTGGTTCTTTTCATGTTTAGATTTAGTGTTATTACTTACTTAGATACTTAGATGGCCCGTGTTCACGTGACGTGCGGGCCCCAGTACAGAAGTTGCCATTGATCCCTGTCCCTCGCTTCAGACATCCACGATTTTCTTGGTCGTTGTCGGTGGCTGATCCCCACGAGTTCCAGGGGCGAAAGTCGTATCCAGCTGATTTCTCAGCTGATCCATCCGTTCCACGAACACGTCTGCTCATCGCGTTGGAGGTCTTCCTCGGGGACGTTTGACTTCGCGGAGAATCCACTCCTATGTTCTTAGTGTTCATCGCCCATGTCTCAGCTGCGTAACAGAGCGCCTGGAGAACGGTTGAGTCGAACAGGTGGGCACGAATCTTTGGGTCGTCAGTTGGTCGGTGGCATCCTTCAGAGGTCCGTAGGCGGCCCAGGCTGCTCTTCCTCTCCCGTTAAGTTCTTCCCTCAAGTCGTTCTCCATGTTCATCGAACGTCTGAGATTCACTTAAGAAGGCGTCTCCATAATAGGGGTGCCTTCCAATTCCATTTCTGCATGTTCGCAAAGGGCGTTCCTCATAAACTGAGTCTTCTTCCGATTTATTCGCAAACCGAACTTCTTCCCTACCTCGTTCACTTCTTTCAGCATCGTCTCTGTTTCAGTTAACTGCTAGAGAAGAGAACGATGTCGTCCGCACCCATCATCATCTCGCATGCCTCTCTCGTCCCAGTCTAGTGACCTCATCACCCTCTGCAAGGCCGTGAACATCTTTGGCAAGATTGTGTCGCTTTGTCGGACCCCCTTCCCAATTGGTATGGTCAGGGGGCGATGGAATAGCTGCATCGTCGTTGTACAGTCCTTGTAGCAGTCGGTAACGTCATCGCGTAAGCTGGGTCCACTCTTTGATTGACTAGCGCAGACAGGATGACGCTGGTTTCGACGCTGTCAAAGGCTTTCTCGTAGTCGACGAAGGTTAAGGCGAGAGGCAGTCGGTACTCCCGGCAGACTTCTATGACCCTCGAAACCGTCTGGATGTGGTCCATGCAGCTGAATCCTTTGCAAAATCCAGCTTGTTTTCGGGGTTGGGCTTCATCCAGTGTCCTAGATATGCGAGCTTCATGAAAAGCTTGTACCTCACACTCAGCAGGCATATTGGATGACGATGATAGTTCCAAAGTTCCTTCCGTTCACCCTTCTCAGAGAGAAAGACGGTTCTTGGTTCTCCACTGGACGGGAATCCTCTCTTTCTGAAGGTAAGTTGTCAGGTGCGACGCGAGGATCTCGTGTAGACCTTGTCCTCCAGCTCGCAGAAAATCCACGGAAAGATGGTCTGGTCCTAGAGGTGTGGACGTCTTTATGGTCCGAATTGCCGTGCACACTTCAGCAGGTGGAATTCGTGTTGATACTTCTCCAGTGGGAACAAAGGGCACGGATGTTGATGAGCGAAAGAGGTTGGTGTAGAAGTTCTTCGCGACAGATTCCATCTTGCATCGGGGAGAAGTGTGAGTACCGTCTTCGTTGAATAGTGCAGCCAGCGGACGTGATATTCAAAAAAGGTCCCTTCGGCACTTCTTGAGACTTCGTCTTCCTTCGGCTGTCCCGTATCTTGGCTTGCCTGTACTTCCTAAGATTCTCCTGCAAAGCTGTTCTGCAACTGGCGTTGGGTATCACTCGCTCGAGATGGGTTGCATTCGGGTTCTGCTTTCTAGGTGGTTTTCGAAATGCGTTCCAAGTTCCTCTCAGAAGTCACTGAGGCGCACTCTCCACAGGCTCGCCCTTTCTAAAGCCGTTCGTAGTCGTAGTTGGGTCCTTCTCGAGAGCCAGTCACAACTTCATATGAGCTCTTCCAGCCTGTTACCGTCATAAACGACTTCCTTCCTTCTCGCGGCACTGTGATAGACTGTCTTTTCCAGCCTTCGGCTGAGTCGCATCTTCGCTCGAAGGAGGCGGTGATCGGAGCCACTGCAGAAGGATAGAACTACTGAGACGTTTTTGTTCCGGAGCCCATTTCTGAACTTCCCGATCCTATATTCCTTTTCTAGTGGCACCCCGATTTTCGCATTGAAGTCACCCATAACACAATGTAGAAGATCTTCTCGTTGCGAACAACCTCTCTTCTTCGTAGAAAGCATCTAGTTGTGAATCATCAACTGCTGATGTTGGTGAGCAGCAGTTGATGATGCTGATGGTCTTCTGACGTGGAGGGCGTAGTCGTAGGATGCCAGTCGGTTTGATGGGATCACGTGCGAATCGACAAGATGGACGATAGACGACAAAGCCGACGCCTCCCACGTTTGGTGATGGAACCTTTTCACCACGAATGATGAGGGTCCCATCACTCATCTGTCGCACGTCCTTCTTCCTGGACTTCGTTTCCTGCAGAGCGATGACGTGGTACTTGATGCGCTCTGCAGCGTCGAGAAGAGCGTGGAGATCGCGTTTGTGGAGACTGTCCTGTAGGTGCAGAGCATGAGGCAGTCTGCATTTCAGAAGAAGAGGGAAACGGCATGGCAAAAAAATATTTTCTGAGGAAGGCGCATGGCGCCAGCCGAAAAATTTTTGGTATGCCTACTGAAATTTCCGGATTATGGGGCCTCAGAAATTTCAGTAGGCATACCCAAAAATTTTCGGCTGGCGCCATGCGCCTTCCTCAGAAAATATTTTTTTGTCGCCCCTCTCTCCCCTTCGAACAATAATCGTTGGTACAGTAAGTTTCAAATCAGTTTAGGCAGAAATTGGACTGGCAGGGGTCCGCTCTGCAGTCTGTGTCGCTCCATTCTAATCTATCTCGCTGAGACATTGGCGGTGCGGACGCGCTAATCCAGAATGTTTCGCCTATTCCGGGTTGAAAAAGACTGTGCGCCACTACGTTTAAGGTAGGGTTTACCCTCAGGCTTCGTTGATGAATACGGTCACTGGTGTTTCAAATGAAGCAATATTCACGAACTTACAATGTCACAGTGGCGACGGTACAGACAAGAAATCCTCGATTTTCTCTTAAAGGCAGGGGATCGGCAAAACTTCACATCCCAGGATCTTAACGCAGTAGGTTCCTTACGTCCAAGCATAAAAACAGTGCAATCCCGGTTGCACAGCGTGCCTTCCCTGTCGAGAAAATCGCTCTTAAATTCACACGCGCAAGCCAATCTTACTCGCACCCGGACGAGTTGGCAACTTCCTTCTCACCATTGGAGACTGCCCGCCGCAATGCTATAATCATTGGGTCCCGCAATGACTCAGCGTCATCAGCCTTGCTCCACTCGTCCAATTTTGAAGGAAGGGGTTGAAAAACGCTCGTTTTCGCCATTTTCGAGCTCTCTAAAGTGGATTTTTGTGATCAGCGTATTGAATAACCCCAGATAAGCGAAAATTTGACTAGGTTGAGATTTGCCGAGCCACTGCCTTTAATTGCCGGGATAGGCGGGCACCAGAAATTGCGCATTGGCGACTTTTTGCACTTTGCCCGCAAAAGTGTAGGGAGACATATACGATCTTTTTTACGGTCCTTTGTTGGCTTTTTTGTCCATGAAAACACAGCAGCCTCGTAGCCGCTTTTCAATTTATTGAGTTAATTCAAATTGTTGCTAATATTTCACACCTCTTCTTTCAGAGACTGATTTTCAAAACAGAATTAGCTAACTTGAAATCTTTTCATGTTCTTGATGGAGTATTTCCTCCAGCTTCTTATGGTATGATGCCTGCACTTGACCTTTGCATTCATCAAATTCCGGATAGTTTTTTTTACATTTTGTTTCTGCAGGGATTGATAGAGAACCTGCAAACATTCAATGATCCAATGATTTACTCTTTTTGATATAGCTTCCAAAATGTGCAAAAAAATCGAAGTGCCTCAGTACTTCCATATCACCGCAGTGTTGTTCCTGTAGACATGGCTATAATTTGTAGCTTGTCGGCCTAATCGTGATTATACTGGTAAGCAGAGGAAGAGGGCGACGGCAATTTTGAAAAAAACAACAAAGGTAGTACTGTGTTTATTTGCGCTCAAACTTTTTGATCAATCTGAAGACAACATATTGTAATCTACATGCCTACAGGGAGAAAGCTCTGAGTCTTTGAAAAGTAAGGGCGACTGGATGAAGAAATTAACCGTGGAAATGAGGACACTATTGATGACACTTCTAAACATAGAAGCCAAAGTGATGAAGGTGTGTCGTTATGAGTGTTCGTCCTAGCAAACACACTTATAACAGTCGCTTAGTCCATCGAAGAAGAACTAAGTATGGGCAAAATATGTAGCACTCCTTAATTCTGTCATCTAGGGTGATACTAATATGGATGCATCGCAGCTATATCCTTTAAGATTGAACACGATTCGAGAAATCATCGACAACCCAAGCAAACTAAACGGCAAAAGGTCTGAGGTTGGTGGGCTCTCCTTTTCGTCATGATCGTGTAGCGGAATAAAACAAATCTAAAACAGTCCATCTTTCTGCAGATGCGCTATGAACCATTTCGAATGGCAAAGAACAACGAACTTTCGTCTGTAGCTTACCGCCGCCTGATTGCTGCTATAGATTGGGTTGAACATCTGTGCGCATGGATGGGCGGCTTGAGCGTTGAAGACAAGGTTTGCTAATTTTCAATTGGTGTCGAGCTGGGGCACAGCCTCAAATGCAGCGGCGATTTGCGTTTTCGCAGTATTTATTTCTTTTCTCTTTGCTGTGGCAAGCGCAAAACTGTGCTTTTGTTATTGAAGGTTGCTCTTCATAAAGACGGAGACTTGCTATAAGGTTGTTCAGAACGCTCTGCTAAAATTATCTGGAAAGCTTCTCATTGAATGCAATCAAAATGCACTGTACGGTAATCTTAATGCTTGATGATGGCAGACCCCGTAAGTTGCTAGTCAGCTTGGTAAATTTGGAAGCTAGGTAATGAAACTTCACTAAAGGACAATACCATCATAATGCCTCAAGGCACCTTTGGCAAATCGTAAAATCAGCAGAACTTGCAGAACCTGCTTGAAACGCTGTTTTACACCCTCCATAGACGACAGATATAGCGGTATCCAACTACAACTTGCCCCAACACGCTTCTTCAAGCAAACATTGACCAGCGAGTAGAAGTTCAAGCCCTTCAGCTACATTGCAAACTGAAGGCTTCTTCTCGGACACCAGCATGACTGGTATGCCAAACCAATCGTCACATTACCAATATAACGATAATTGACAACCGTTTTCTCCAAAACGAAAAAACAGATGAATTTCGGCACACTCAAACCTAATAACGTAATAGCCTGCGAACTGAATTGTAAGTCGCATTTTGCTGGTAAAATTCCATATGCGAAAGGTGGTAGCAGAAAATTTATCTCGAAAGAAGCTTACTTTGCGAAGAACTCTCCTCACATGCATAGTTTTAAATCATATGGATCCAAAATTATTTCACGAAATAATAAAGGCGATTAGATGCGAATATAAGACTCAAGCTGACACAAAAAGCATAAGTTGCTTCGTATCACAAAAGACCCCATCCTCGATCATTCCCGGTCAGACTATATGTGCATATGTTCGCTTTGCCCAAGGTGTCTCAAAATCTTGTACCTATTTAGATCGTACTGGTCAAAAACGCTTTCGCACCACTGATGGTGTTTAAATTCGCATCAAGAACCGCTGAAGTATCAAATGATGAGAACATACTTTGCTTGTGCAATTTCGCATATGTGCCAAGGAATATTTCTCAGGCATTCTCTGACAGTTAGTAAGTTTAGTTTCAAACCTCTTCAATATAGGTAACTTGACATTTTTGAAGGCAGTGTTCGGATGGTTTTGGGATTTAAATGCTATGCGAAAGTGGGCCCTTCGAACATGCTCAAATGCGTGTCATAACCGAGTCAAGCTTGGGTTGTGGCACGCCATACCTGGGAGGTCGTATTAAGAAGTCAAAAAAAGAGGGGATTATAATCGGATACTGATAATAGCGGTATCATCAACAACAACATCTTGATATTCGTACACAGTTTGTCGGATAACTATGCAAATTTCAGGATATGAGACACTGACTAGTCATCGTATACTTACCGTAGCATAATAAAGAGACCGGGTGTGGTGCGGAAGGCGACAATCCCCAATTTTGTGCCTAACAGAAACTCCTGTGTCAAAGTGACACGGCGGGGGACTACGGGGGTGGGGGTGGCGGACTTTATGAACGATAGCTCGCGCTTAGGCAGGCGTGTGTCAATAAAGTGCGCACCGTTAGCCCCGCCTATCACGATGGGCGGTTCTCGTGGGGTGGAGGCAGAAGGGGTGGCGGTGGAGGCAGATACCCTACTCAATGCAAAAAGTAAATTTCGGTAAAAGTCAATAGGAAGGATGTTTCACCTCTTGCATTTTGCGCAGATTGTCGCCTTCCGCGTGCCCTCCCCCTAAAGAGACCCTATAGAGCATAACGAGTAATATATCCATAATTAGGTGACCCTGTGGACCAAGTTTGAGCGAATTTTGAAGTTTCCAAACACTGGACCACCTTAGTGAAATGGTCATCTCGAAATGTAAACTTCAAAGGTAAATTAGCTATTTCTTTTTGCACTCAATACAAAGCACTACTTTTTCTTTACCCACTTTAGAAATCTGTTCCATTAGATCGCCAAACTGTGGAATGAGAAGGGAGCCAAAATCTCGATTGTCCCATTTTTTGCTTCTGAAGGCTGTGCTTTTACCAACTATCAATCAAAGCAATGACAAATTAGGCATCAATTCCGTGAAAACTGCGAAGTTTGAGCTGTCGAATCTAAATATGTTTGCTAAAATTGTTTTTGTGATATAGTCAGGGTGTGGCACAACCCCCAAAAAGGTGTGGCACACCTTTGCCACACTTAATTCACCTCTGAAGATTTTTAGCGGATGATATCTACATAATTTGATAGCATGAATCTCGTAGTATTTACAGAAGTGATTTGAGCATTGGTTTCCTTACCCTGAGTAGTGAATACAGTAGGTTTCAACTCGGTTTAGGCGAAAATTGGACTGGCGGGAGTCCGTTTCGCAACGATTCGCGTCGCTCTGCAGTCTGCGTCTCTTCGTTATAATCTATCTTGTCGAGCCAGTGGCTGCTGACGCGCTGCTCCACTCGAAATGTTTCGCCTACTCCGGGTTGAAAAAGACTTTTGGTGAAAGCACAATCATTAGAAGCGAAAAGTAGAACAAACGAAATTTTGGCTCCTTCAATCCACAGTTTGGCGGTCTTTTGGAGCGTGGTTTCTCAAATGGGCGAACAAGGACTAGCCTTTGTAATCAATGCACAAAGAGGTATCATCGGCTTCTAGATTCGTGTTTAGGTGGAGTCTTGCCAACTCACCGCGTGGCGGTTTTCGCTAGCGAGAGAGTACGAAAAGCAGTGCTATGACGTGGAGGTTTAGCAATTTTACCTGCCTTATCAGGTAAAGTCTGCAGTACACCTCCATACGAACCTGGAAACCGATCATACCTAATTCACCTTTGAGCACAAGAGTGGTACCGTATTTGGAATCTTCATAGTTCGCTCAGATCTAGTCCAAAGGGGTTATCTGACATGCTAATCATGAATTTATTACTCGTTATGCTTGATAGGGCTTTTGTGTTATGCCTGTCTTTGGTAGCAGTTCAGGGGTCAAGACAGCAACTAGGAGTGAAGTCGTATATAGCCGTCGTGTACCATGCTTGACATTGATCCTAATGTTTGACCACAACCAAACAATATGGTCGGAAAGCTAGAAAACTAACGCCCTGAGACTCTCCACCTGTTTGAATTCCTGCTCTGTGGCAGAGTACGCATGCCGAGTTGTAGGGTCCTGCAGCAACTCTGCGTCTCAGCCTTGGAAGCCGGAACCGTCCTTTTTCAACTTGTAAGGAAGTAGGGGAACGAACTCCGCCAGTTTGAGCCGCATCCGCGGACTATTGGCCCTGCAACGACATGCAGCAATATTGCAAAAGGACTAGTTACCGGCGAAGGCGGGCTGAAACTGGCGGAAATCGTTCCCCTACCCTTGTAAGGCTTTGAAAACGCAGGTTCTTGCCGTTCCCCCGCTTTCTGGTGTGGATTACAATCAGCGTTGCGGATAACCCTAAGTAAGTGATTTTTCTAGGAATCAAGTTTTTGCCCGGACACTGCTTTCAAATTGCCTTAAAATAAGACCTTTTGATGTGGCTTATTGTCAATTTCCAGTTTACTTTATTTTTTTTCATGAACGTTTCTTCTTCTCATAGGAAGCCTCCAATCGAGAATGAATGTTGTTTTCAGTCATCTTGGGAATGGACTAGTGGATCGTGCTTTGGATGAGCTTGTTCGACCTTATCGGGCTTATTGTCTGAGAGAAGAAGAAGTTGTCTGTGTTAGCGCTATGATAGTTTTGAATCCATGTAAGTTCTTTCATACTTAGAAGCGAAGTACATAGAATTATTGACATACTCCTACCTAATGTTTAGTATGGGTCATGCATATTCAAAAGATTGCTTTTTTGATAGTAGCCCGCGATTTGTCATCGGAAGCATTCGAAAAGATTTTCGAACTTCGCAATAAAATTGAGGATACCTTGTATGCAATCATCAAGGAAGCTCGGATGAGTCAGCGTCCTGCGGTCAGCTTCGGGCAACTCCTGTTGACACTGCCAATCGTAACGGTTCGTATATTATTTTAACGCAATTAGTTAGAAGTAAAATTTCAAAAAATTCAATTTGTAATTTGATTTAATCAACAAGCGTCCAATGCTTTGCTCTTGAATCCATCATTAAAAGCAACGTACAGGCAAACCAGTTCTTACCCTTTTGTAGTGTACAAGCAGGCCTTAACGTAATACATCGTTTCAACAGCTTCCAAGAAAAACATACAAATTCAGCCTCATTTCGATTTTTGTTTCTTCAAAAGTCATCACAGAGCATCCATTATGAACGTTTCCTTTGGCGTCGCGTATATCGCCTCTCATAACGTATCTACCTTTCTCTACATTCTGTAGAAAAAGGTTTCGATTGATAATTGAGAGCTTCTGGAAGGGTCTGTTATAATTACCCTATTTCACGCGTATAAGGTGCACTTTTTCGAATTTTCAAGGGAGCCGCTTAGCCGCTTCACTGTATTCCGGAAAGAAATCCTTACATCACACGATTCTCTCAAGCAATATACAGCACGTTATAGGGTCCTTTGGTTGTAAAGTCCTTTGGCTTGTCTGGGCGGGTCGATTTGGAAAAAAATCCCCCGCGCTTTATACGCATGAAATTAGGGTAACATATGTTATAACTAAACAGAAATGGAGTTTACCTGACTCAAGCAGTTCATTTTTTTTGCAATGCTCTTGAAACTTTCTGATCAGCAACTACATGAAGTCTCTCCGTTCACCGCATATTTCACAGCTCGATGCACACTACAACTTCAAAAAAAATTTTTTTTGCTTTGTCAGGTGTCACAAACTGTCAGCGTCCTCAAGATACAAACTTGGTCTGAAAAAAGATGTACAATTTGTCCCAATCGAGACCATGTCACAACGTTGCAAGCTTTTTTGCGCTGCATTGCGTTGTTAAGGCACTGTCGGAGGAATTGCAAAAAATAAGGAACAAACAGATTTCTTTACATCCACTTTTAGCAAGTTATAGGTGAAGCAATACATAGCGGTGTGAACGCGCATCAAAGTGCTTTTGCTGTGATCGAGGCTGTGTCAGACTGTCCATAGCGACGCATGAAAAATGGCACATTTTGATTATAATATCAAAGAATGAATTGTGTGAGTGTAATAGGCAGGTATTAAGTTGTTCCATAAGTCCTTTCACATTCGGACCTTCAATTCGATATTTCTCGAGATTTAAGGCACCTAGAGGCTGCAAATTTGTGGCAGTAATTCTGGGTGAATAACTATATAATCACCTGTTTGCGGGGAACACAGAATTAATACAGGCAAAGTTTGAAAATTGAGCGCATCACTATTTTCTTGGTCTCTAGCCATCAGACAAATGCAGCAAGTGCATGTATTAATATCCGATGAGGAGAATGTATCTTATATGTAAAGCTGAATGTCTGTTTGTCTGTATGTATGTCTGTCTTTCTGTCTGTCTGTACGTATGTTCCGAATAGAAAACTCCATTTCTGAACCGATCGGGACCAAACTTGGCACACATACACTTCGGGCCCCGGCGGGTGTCATAGGCTACTTTTCGTCATCGATCGATATCGATTTTATCGATTTTTTGCAAAATTTGAGCTACGGGGCTGGGAGTTGGCACAGGGGTGTAATCGAGCATGCTGATCACCCCTACGGGGGTGATCAGCATGCTCGATTACACCCCTGTGCCAACTCCCAGCCCCGTAGCTCAAATTTTGCAAAAAATCGATAAAATCGACATCGATCGATAACGAAAAGTGGACTGTGACACCCGCCGGGGCCCGAAGTGTATGTGTGCCAAGTTTGGTCCGGATCGGTTAAGAAATAGAATTTTCTATTGGGAACATACAGCGGAGCCGGGTAAGCCAGCTAGTGCTTGAGAAAGTGGAAATGCAGTCGTTTTGAATGGAGATATGATGATTTTCGTTTTATCGGAAATTCGAAAAAAAATTTTATTTTAGCTTGGAACTTGTTGCGAATGAGGCTTGGTGCGAACATTTGAACGCCATCTCGTAGAGCTTGCTTTGATCTGTCGAATGGTACCCCGCATTCGATTAGGAGTTCAAGAAGAACTGATTTATGTCGCTGAAAAATCAGGTTGAAAAGACTTATGGGACAACCTAATGCAAACGAATGCATTGGGAGATAGAGGGGGTAAGGAAAAAGAGAACAAAATTACAAAAATTGGGAACAAATGTGAAAATTTCAGGGTAGGCAATATTTACAATGGAAGTGAGTTGAAGCGCGGTATTTATCACAGCGAATTTGTACAATTTAATGAAGAAAGGCAACGATATAAGTAGTTCTGCTAATATATAGATCTTATTCGGGGAAGTATTTCGTGACAAAAGAGAATAAACAAAAACTTCTGTAAACTTAAAAATTTCATGCTTGGAACTCGAGTCGTTACAGTGGCGTCTTGGAAGACGACTAGTTCGAGGAAAGTTATCACGTTACATAAGTTTTCAAAGTTTTCAATATTGTTGGAAGAGTATTGTATGCACATAGTCCAAATTCGGTATCGAAAAACTGCTTGTGCTCCACAACAAGATCATCTATATATGTTATGTCAGTGTTTATATAAAGAATGTTGTAAACGTTATATTAATGAGCGCCTTTGGAAGAGAATTGTGGAGGAGTCGAAGTGCATCTGCGATCGTATCCGATCTAATGCCAAGTCTAGACTGCAGGAAAAGTTTGAAAGTTAGTGGATCAGGAGCAAAATCGTGTTTTGCAGGTGCCAACTAGTGTAAGGTATAATATCAACAGTGACTAAATGTGCCTAGTCGCCATCGTGTTTCAGTGATAGGCAATGTACTCATCTCAGAAAATGCGCTTTCATTGTTTAATCTAAATTCAAGTCGCTCTCTTACTCAATCGGTAGGACCTAGGATATCTTGGAAGATTGTGGGAAACCTCCAATTGGTTCGCGAAAGACGGCGCCAGCGAGCCAGTGATATGGAACGCATACGAAGCGATCAAAAAGTTTCAGCCATGAATCTGCCTTCAATAACGTTTCTTAAGCTGATGCACAAGCCTCAAGAGCTCAATCAGGTAGTAGATACTAAACTTCGGGTTTCGCCAGACACTCAGCCAATTCAGCAAAATGCACAAAAAATTGTAATTTAACGACTGCCCAACGCCGCGGCCTCCTTGAACTTGCGCTGCTGGTGAAATTAAACTATCCGTCAGCGAAAGGAGGGGAATTTGTTGTCTTATTACGTGAATTGGACATGGCTATCATAGAGAATCCCCTGGCGGACAACACAGTTTATGAAGGTTCATCAGAAAGCGAATTCAAGACACAATATCGCCACTTGAACGAAGTTTGAGTTGAGGTTGCTCGGACTGAGGGACTACATAAGAGCATTGTAAGCAGGGTTGAGCGTAGGGTCAGGCGCGCCCGACCGGGGGATCGTATTGAGGGTAAGACTGAGGGGGGGGGGTCGTAATTAAGAATCGAATTTATTAAGTTGGGGAGATACTGTGAAGGTGAAGAAGAAATGCGCTAGTTAGGTGGATATCGCGATCACATGAAGGAATGACGGTCATAAACAGCATACTGATTGTTTCCACAATGGAAGTTTCAGCCAAATTCAAATCTTCTTCTCTTTTCTTGACATATGAGGTAAACAAGGAAGCCTGCTGTGTGAAATGGGTATCATTTCCATAATCAGCATGTCAAATTACCTCTATGCGCTCTACAAACCATTACCTACTGCAGTTTCTAGTGTTTCGCAACGCCTAAAATGCGTGATTTTCAAACGTGATTAACTTGGTTTCAGAAGTGAGAAAAGTCAGCTTTTGTATACTCATAACAAAGTAATGTTCTCTCCAAGTCTATGCTACAAATCGGACTTCATATCGCTTTCAAACAGTGAAGTAAGAAGTGCTGCCAAAATTCCAACCGGCGCGTTTTTCACGTTGAGTGCTTCAACTTCTCGGATTAGCACAAGGCCGAAACAAGTCGAATCAAGCTCAAACACATGCTGTGGAATTTTCGAGGATTGCGCTAGCGAATCACATAAAATCTGGGTAGAAAAGCTTTTTCGGAAATAAAGTTAATGGGGTCAGGCGCAACCCCTCAAAAGGTCAGGCCGTCTGAGCTTTTGAGGGTTTGCGCCTGACCCTGTTAACTTGCCTTCAGCATTCAAAAATCGCCTCCTTTTTGATATGAGTATTGAGCGCAAAGCCTCTTCTTGCTATACTGAAAATTTGAAGCCAAACACTTCACCCCTGTCAAAATTATAGCTCTGAAAAGAGGACTATCTAAATGTAAAATTTGCCGTCAAGTTGCGTGTTGTGCAATCGCAAAAAGTCGGACCTACAGACTTTCAAAAAATAGAAACCTGCAGTAAAGGCTGGTCTTCTTCAAAATATAACACCCTAAGGACTTGGAGGTGAAGCGGAGGGTCGTTTAGGGGCTTTCACAAGGGAGGGGGGTCATTTTTGAAGGATTGGTGCCTGATCTCTTGCTCAACCCTGATTGTAACGCGTCTCAAGAGTGCTTTGCCTATATGTCCGGTACTGTACATATTGATAAAGACGCACAAGCTATTTCTGCCATTTCGCATCAACCACTAAGGACTTTGAGTTCAGACCAATTATCAGCGATGCCGGCGGGCCAACGGACAGGATCTCCTTTTTGGACTTGGTGTTATCACAACTGCTGGAGTTCGTGCCCTCGCACCTTTCCAACACAATTATGTTTTAGATCGTTTGCACGAAACGCATGTTGACCAGAGATGCGTGGTAGAGTCTTTCGACGTAAGTTCCTCTACACTAACGTTTCCAACAGCGACGCCATACAAGCTACATTCGAGCTACTTCTGGAACATCAATCCTCGTTGAATCTTCATAGTTTCAATATCAGGGGGATCATGGTACTCGTAAAAGTGTGTCTTCAATGTACAATCTTTGGCTGGTGTGGTCACTATTACAAACAGATTAGAGGACTCGTACAAAACAGCGTTTAGCACTGACGTTGGTTATCGTCTTTATGTCTAAGATAGATCCCGTACTCGCACGGAAACCACTTCTCTTCTGCCGTTAGGTCGATGACTGCTGCATAGTATGCTCCACACAGGGAGAGCTGGATCTTTGTTGAAACATCCTCAACCAGCAGTCTCGTCACATTGAACTGACACGGTAGAAGCCTAGTGACAATTGGCCGTCGTTCTTGAATGTCGAGTTGCACTTGACAGAGAATGGTTGGAGAACCCGATAGTACCGAAAGCTGAGCAGCAAGAACATTCTTATACACTGTTTTTTAGCGCACCAGTGGCAAGTTAAAAAATCGGTTGTAGGAAATATATTCAGAGCAGCTGTGAAGGTCTCCTGACGCTCAACAAAGGCTCATTTTATGGCGATAGCTGACAGAGCAGCTCGATCTAACGGTTACGGCACACGCAAAACATCACCGGTCCGGGACAATGTGGTTACAGGAACCAATGGGAAGATCCCTTTCTGCTTGCCGTATATCTCAGAGGAGTTGAGCAAAACGATCAGAAAATTAGTACTGCAAGCGGACTCCGGGATTGGATAAGGGTAGTTGACATACTCCCCACAAATCTCAAACATCAAGTACGAAATAGGGCATATGATAGGCTTTGCATGACTCCAGGATGCATCTTAGGCTCGCAGGGCATGGAAGGCGACTGCATGGCTGCGGGGGTAGTGTACCTTATCACCTTCAGACATGCGAAGGCACGTATGTCAACGAGACGGGGTGGCCCTTATGTATACGCGTCAAAGAACACTTAGACGGGCTCAAAAAATTGAACACTGCAACGCCACTGGGCAAGCATCGCAGATAGTTCCATTATGACGCAGACATACGCGTGAGGTCACGATCTTGAGAGGAAATGGTCAGAACTTAACCCAGCCATTCCAAGCAAGCTGTACATCAACGGACTCATGTCAAAACGCTGATTCCAGATATATCTTTTTTGTCTGCCAGGCTATAATCTGGGGAAGAGTTATGAGCGTTCAAATTAATTTTTCGAGTTTCAATGAATGTATCTCCTTGAATGGCAGCCTGATGGCGCGGATTTACAGTGCTATGGTTATTCTAATTACGAGGACGAGCACATTCACCAGCAATCTAAATAAGTGTTTTGTAACTTATTTCGTGGAACATGGGCCATAGAACATTTGGCAAATCGCACATTCAAACGCTCATAACTCCTCTCAGATAGTCGCTTGGCAGATAATAAACATATAATTGTGGTCAGCATTTGAGAAGAGTCCGATGATATACGGCATGTTTGGTATGGTTGGGTTAACTTCCAACCATTCCCTGCTTAGCATACGAATCCCAAGTCCTAGCGAGCAAGACTTTAGGAGCGTTTTGAATTACCGCCGAAAGTCCAAATTTGAATCGAAAAGATGAGTGCATAGACATCACTATTGAGTTGGCGCCTTATCAGAGACTTTTGCGGCTTTTGAGGTCAGGTTGAGGCCAGACGACTATACAAAAAACTTAAAGCTTAGTTACTGGTATAGTGGTCTGCAATACCACTTTGTCGGCATCTGTTTAGGTAAGCATTAGTTTAATCCTGCATTCACTGTCGAGTTCTTGGCTCATTGACGCATTGGGCGTCTTCCTAAGTCTTGAGGTGGTCTTTGACAGGATAGTTCACACATGCATTTGATAATTTCAGACTCTGGGCGATACCGCCGAAACGTTAGTCAATTAAAGGATATACGAATCCCGGTGTCTAGCTAAAGAAGCCACAACAGGCATCTGCAACATGCTGAGATCGAGAGTTGAACTTGGACAATTACAAAAGCAATCTATCTGTTTATCTTAGCTTCACAAATTTCAAGTAGCGTGCGCTCTGAAAAGACACTAAAGCACGTAAATTGCATAGTAACTTGCGACTGAAGCGAATTCCAGTGGTCGCGTATATGCCCGCAAGCATTTTTCATTATACGCACTGCGCCATGACCGTAACTCGTGAGTGATTTAGGATGGGTCGCAGCGCGAAAATAGTGTGAAAGTGAGGTTGCGTTTATAATGAGCCCAAAGTCCGGGAACAATTCCAGCACAGCGCTAAGTTCCAGCGCTCTGCTGACTGTTCCCGGACTTTGGGATCAGTATGAATGCAGCCTGAGCGATGTCATTTTCGGGTTACGGTTACGGCAAAGGCCCGAAGGTTGAAGACGGACTCCTCAGAGGTGATTGAATCATTCGCGCTGCCGCTTGTGCAGTGCTTTAGTGAGGGCCCCTTCATCAGTCTCCATGCAAAAAGCCCCTATGCACAGATTGGCCTTTGAGAACCGCGACTCGTTTGCTATATGTGACTCTCCCAAAGAGAAGAGGTAGCAATTGCCACCGTAATGCCAAGTTTGTACCAATGTGGACATTAAGGGCCGCATGCACTAACATTTCCACTGGGGAGGGGATCGCAGCTTCAGAAAAAAGCTTCATATCCTGAAGCTCCGGATATCTGGATTTCACGCTGTCTACCTGTCCGTAAGTACTCCCACCATCCTTCACTATGAACATATTGAGCAGAAGCGAGAAGCTGTACTAGCCGCATTTCTCAGCTTTTTGTAGTATCCCCTAATGATCCCTAGGGGACGAACATCTATTCTTCAAAGTCATTTTTCTTTCTCCGAAGTTAACGAAAACCTTCCAAAGTTATACTGAACATCTAACACAACAGTGCTAAGCATGTTGCTGATGAGAACAAATGAATTTTTGAAAAATCGAATTTTTCGGTTTACCCCAAATTTCGACCTGTGGATCATCGAAAATTTCATGACTTCAAAACATCATTTGTTCTTATCAGCAACATGCTTAGCACTGTTGGGTTAGATAATCTGCACAACTTTGAAAGTTTTTCGTTAACTTCGGAGAAAGAAAAATGACTTTAAAGAAAAGCGCCGGGGATCATCAGGGATCATACAAAAGCTGGAAAATGCGGTTTGTACAGCTTCTCGCTCCTGGTCAATATGTTCATAGTGAAGGATAGTAGGAATACTTACGGATAGATACACAACGTGAAATCCAAGTATCTGGAGTTTCGAAATATGAAGCTTTCCCTTAAGCTGCGATCCCCTCCCCGCGGCCATGTTAGTGCATGCGGCCCTAAGTGTTGAAAAATCTATGGAACTGGAGATTTTGCCACCCTCAGGATGGCATTACGGTGGCAATTGCTATCTTAATATAGCAAATTAGGCACGTTCTTCATTCACATAAGTTTTCATATATTTTGAAAATTTTGTTCTCATTCCGGAGGGCCCATATGCATACACACACAAAGTTTGGAGCCATAGGGTGCGTATGCGTTTCAAGCGAGTCATTTTGCGTTTCTCGATAGTGGGAAATTTCCTGAAAAGCTCACCACACCTTTCAATTTATAATATGATGTTAGATAGTTTTTCGTAGTTTCTTTCCTAGCCCTAGTCCGTCTCCAATTTTGATAGCATGGTCTCACGTGTGCGCGGTAATCAAATGATTTGTTTACTACTTTGTGCATGACTTGGTTTTCCAAACGGCTTATCGAGCACGACGTGCCTGAGCATGTCAGTCGTGTTAAAACCTATTGGCCGGAAATGTTCAAGCGGTACGTAACGCATCGAGCGTGCGAATACGTACCTCCATTGCATTCAGATATAAACGCTTGACATTTGCCGTCCTCGGCCGGATCATTGTCATGGTGGGTGTTGTTTTTGGGGCAAAAAGCAATGCAGATTCCTTGGGGGTGGATTTCTGAGCCACGAATGAACCATATGCGCTACCATTTGGGCATTGCTATAGCTAAGCCCTCTCAGTTTTCAGACAAAAGCATGCGTCTAGACTTGCCTGGACATTGAAGAACAAAAGCGGCCAATTGAAGGACATGTACATTAGCAGGGGGGGGGGGATATCGTACAAAATCGGTGCGGCAAGGGCTTACGTTTTACAAGGGTCCTTAGGCCACTTTCATGGCTGACCCTGTCCACGACTTTTGCGCTGGACACTACTACCAGGTTGGCATGCAACAACATGTTTCTTTAGAAGCTACAGTTGCTGCCAACATGTTGTGTGTTGCTAACCTTTGGCCATGCGTGCCGCAGATCAGGGATAGAGTAGGAGAGCAGCAACGATTGGACGGGCGTTAGCTATTCTTTATTTGCTAGTGAATAAAACGGTGAAAAGCAAAGATAGTGCACGGGATTCTTACTAATTTTTGTTAATCTTGTTTGCTTTTTTTTGTTATTTTTTCTAGTTTTCAGTCATTTTCATTCACTGTATGCGATGCAGTGATCAGCGCAGCCAAGCACTTGCGCTGCGAAGGTAAGAAATCTCGAAAAACAATCCGTATCATTATATGAAAGTATTGCTTTGACGAACCCTGCATTTTTCATTAGTATAGCTCTGGTTACGATTGACATTACGAGCACGGTGAAATTATTTGTTTTCTAGTTCGAAATTTTTAGATGTTGGCCAATGCGATGTGCGAAAATTTGCAGTTTGCTCAAGTCTTCTCCAACACTGGGGAGATTCCACTGCTGACCGATCTGTTTGGGTAAGTAGAAATGACCTTACATTAAAAAGCTTCATTTTCCGTATATTCTTCAATTCTTGTGATTGCACATTTTTGCTGTGGATTACAAGTTCATGGTGGTAAGTATTTTACTGGCCTTAAGTTTCGACGCTGTCGTCGTCTTCAAAGGCCAACTCTGATATTCGGTGTGTGTGCGCGCACTCCCCGTGTGGCGCTGTGTAGTGCGTGCGGGCCGAACGATGAATGTGCATGCGCCACTGCGTGATTGCGCGCAGGCCGCACGGTAATGAAGCGCTTCGTCCGCAAGCTACTAGAAACTAAGTTTTTCGTAAAGCTTCTTTCTCTTACTTCGTCGTGCCGTGAGCATCCTCAACGTCATAATCCAAAAAATTTCAAATCCAAAAATGCGGAAATTTGATTTTCAAAATTCAGAAATACGAATTTAGCACCAATTCAGGATGCCATCGAAGGGTAACCTTCGTAGAAGCAGAAAACCTCCCATGCTCCTGCGATTACTCAAATGCCAAGAAATGGTACGCCAGATCCACCTTGTGATGGAGCAGCCTAATCGCAGTGCCGTACCTCACGCGGATATCCATTACGCTTATAGCATGCGGGTATAGGAGGCGCGCTGGCGGCACGGTGAGAATATAGTGCGCGCGGACCGTACGCCAGGGATTCAAGCCGCGCGGGCCACTCGATACGTGACCAAAGCCCGGCACGAGGGGCCGTCAAAAGGGGTTTTCGAAAACGAATTCCCCTTTGACCCAAAATTCTTTTACGACTTGCCCCTTGATCCAAAAACTGATCCCAGTGATTGCGCAGTGAACACTTTACCCAAAGAATAAGTTTTATCAAAGAAAAAAAACAATTCTTTCATAACAAAAAAACCAATGAGATTACATTATTTTATCGTTGACATAAGATCGCAGAATCCATATTTACGACATCATTATTGCCTCAAGCAACTACTGGTAGCAATAAAATGATATGGAAACATAGCGAAATGGATTCTGAAAATAGAAACACCAACGAAAACACAGAAAAATGGGCGACACACCGACACACCAAACGCCGATTAAAGGGCTCAGCTACGCAGTTATTGATTGAAGCGCGCTTTCCTCCTTAAGAAACTCTGGCTCTAGCAATGAGGAGTGAAGGAGGTTCAAAACCAAAATTTCAATATATACTAACTTTTGGGTGTAGAGTAGATTTATGTAAAAAATATGAAAAAATTATGTGAATTGAAAGTTTTGACAACTTCAGGTTGTCATTAGGTTCTCGAATGGCAACCTATTTTGGAAATAAGTTGAGACGCTCTTCATTCACATAAGTTTTTCATAATTTTTCTACTTTGTTACTTAGTCCTACTGCGCATATACACACCAAATCCCGCGCGATTTCTCACTTCTGCGTTGCAAACGAGCCAATTTTATTTTTTTGGTAGCGGGAAATTTTTAGAAATAAGTTTGCTACAATCTCCAGTCACATAGTTTTCATTTGCGCGTTGCAAACGAGCCATTTGAATTCTTATCTTCATTTAAAAATTTTGCATTTTCGTAAAAAATGATTATTACTCGTTCCGTTCACATATGTATTTCACAATTTTTCATGCTTTGTTTCCACTAGTCTCTCTTCGTTCGCTTGCAAAATTTAGGGCCGCATGCACTAACATCCCCGCGGGGAGGGGATCGCAGCTTAAAAGAAAGCTTTATATTTCGAAACTCCAGATACCTGGATTTCACGTTGTGTACCTATCCGTAAGTATTCCTACTACCCTTCACTATGAACATGTTGAAGAGGAGCGAGAAGCTGTACGAACCGCATTTTCCAGCTTTTGTATGATCCCTGATGATCCACGGCGCTTTTCTTTAAATTCATTTTTCTTTCTCCGAACTCAACGAAAAACCTCCAAAGTTGTGCAGATTAAACCGGCAGTGCTAAGCATGTTGCTGATAAGAACAAATGATGTTTTGAAGTCATGAAATTTTCGATGATGCACAGGTCGAAATTTGAGGTTTACCGAAAAATTCGACTTTTCAAAAACTCATTTGTTCTCATCAGCAACATGCTTAGCACTGTTGTGTTAGATGTTCAGTACAACTTTGGAAGGTTTTCATTAACTTCGGAGAAGGAGAAATGACTTTAAAGAAAAGCGAAGGGAATCATCAGGGATCATACAAAAGCTGGAAAATGCGGTTCGTACAGCTTCTCGCTCCTGTTTAACATGTTCATAGTGAAGGGTAGTAGGAATACTTACGGATAGGTACACAATGTGAAATGCAGGTATCTGGAATTTCGAAATAAAAAGCTTTCTTTTAAGCTGCGATCCCCTCCCCAGCGTGGAGGTTAGTGCATGCAGCCCTTAGTGCCATATCGTTACCCATACATTGAGAACTAGCCATGTATGCTGTTACAAATAGCATCGTTTGAGCGACGGCGCGGTATGATGCGCGTGAACTCTAGTGTTCGCCTGTTGAGGCACATAGCATGTTAAGACAGGCAGAGGGCATAAACTACCAAATTTTTCCGGGGCCTCGCCCTGGACCCCCGCAAAAACGATTTCCCCTTTGCTTTTTTTGCTGAAAACGGCTTCCAGCTTGTCATTTGACAACCTCATGCCAGGCCCTGTACGTGACCTCGCCCGTAAATCTAGGCGCGCGGGCAGCACTGCTGGCCATTGACAAGCGCGCGCTGCACGCACCGAATGTGAGCGACTATGGCACAAAGTATTACCAGAGCATTACATCACCATACCATCAGTTGTCAATTCTCATCTAGTTTCAGCCTTGCTACAAATTCAATGCATAAAAGCGTTGGCAGAAAAGGCTATACTCGTCGAACTGTAGCACCCCTTTGATCTGCATCGAATACGTCTAGAATAGGCAATTTTTTAAACCTACTGGCGACCTCCAATCGTTACGACTGGCGATGGCCCATGTCGATGATGATCGTCCATTGCTAACACCGCGATTGCGCTTTACATCGTTATCGATCACTAACAGTCACAACGGCGTGGCAAGATCCTCTAAAGGCTCCTTCTACAGGAGGCAATAATGGCTTCGCGTCAACCTCGCACTTACGTCGCCATATCTCGCACAGTCCTGCACTTCCCTCCAAGCAACCGCCTGTTTTTTCTGGCGTTGATTGGAAAGGTCAGTGTGCAGATATCAGCAGCACCCGTTTCATCCGTATCGCTCGTTGCGTTGTTTTTCGTCCAAGCACCGTTAAGGTCACCATTTGGTGACCTTATATGATAAAAGTGTGCGCAAAGAATATTTTTGGCTCCGCCTGTTATCACTACCACCGCACCACCGCGTGCGGTTGAGCTCGATAAACTCTCATTATAACTTTATGTTGCTTGCATTTTGTACGGGCCTACCCTTCGCCCATTTCTTCAAATTTGCCACAGTCAGCGGCTAAGCGAGTATATTATAATTCAAAGATGAAAGTCAAAACAAAACTTTCAATGAAATCAGTAGGTTGAGGAAGTGTTGTAAAAAATTTTCAGTAAAGTAGGTAGCTCGACGAAGTACTTGGTGCACTGCATTTGTGGGAAAATTTCGGGACATATAGTTACCGAAGACAGATTGAAGGCCATTCCTTTCATTCCTTCTTGATTGGCCATTCAAACTGGAATCAGTTACTTAGAACCGGGAGCTTTGAAATGGATATGTTGCTAAATAAGAGCAAATTTTTGAAGCGAAATGACTTACTGAATTTTCTCTATAACTTATTTCTCTTCTGGGAGTTATGTTTGATTTATTTTTCCTTTCAACTCTTTTGATAAAATTAGGAAATTACAAGTTTTCCAACTGTATCTTCTCACCTGCGATGACGAATCTTATATACAGGGTGTCCTAAAAAAATGTTTCGAACGTTTGATCGTTAATATCTCTCTTCCCAAGAAGTCTTTTGCCTTGCTTCAGGGACCGTTTTGTAGAGCTGGCTTCAACTTAGATCTGCATTATAGAACGAATCACCCATCTCTCTTCATTACTGTAGGATTACGGTAGAAACTTGAAACATGTGGTGTCAATGTGGAAAAAAGCTGCCGTTTCAAAATTTTTCAAATTGTGAAAACTTGTGTAATAGGGTTTTTATAGACGCTGAGTTCAATACTCAACTATTCACAAGATTACGAAGCTTTCTAAACGGTGTAATCGCACTTTTTAGGAACATTGAAAAAAAGGCCGCTACCTCTCACCTGGCATAACTCTTCAATGAAGCATCATAATAAATTGGGAACTTTACAGTTATAATCAGCAACTTTGATTAGCCTAGTGTAGAAGTCTTCAGGCTGTTTTGTTTCTTTTCTGAGGCAAAATATGGCCTTTCATTGCTTAAAACCCTCTTTCAAGTTTCTACCGTAATCCTACAGTAATGAAGAGAGATGGGTGATTCGTTCTATAATCTAAGTTGAAGCCAGCTCTACAAAACGGTCCCTGAAGCAAGGCAAAAGACTTCTTGGGAAGAGAGATATTAACGATCAAACGTTCGAAACATTTTTTTGGGACACCCTGTATAAAGCTGAATGTCTGTTTGTCTCTCTCTCTCTCTGTGTGTGTGTGTGTGTGTGTGTGTGTGTGTGTGTGTGTGTGTGTGTGTGTGTGTGTGTGTGTGTGTGTGTGTGTGTGTGTGTGTGTGTGTGTGTGTGTGTGTGTGTGTGTGTGTGTGTGTGTGTGTGTGTGTGTGTGTGTGTGTGTGTGTGTGTGTGTGTGTGTGTGTCTGTCTGTCTGTCTGTCTGTCTGTCTGTCTGTCTGTACGTATGTTCCGAATACAAAATTCCATTTCTGAACCGATCGGGACCAAACTTGGCACACATACGCTTCGGTGCAGGGCGGGTGTCATAGGCTACTTTTCGTTATCGATCGATATCGATTTTATCGATTTTTTGCAAAATTTGAGCTACAGGGCTGAGAGTTGGCACAGGGGGTAATCGAGCATGCTGATTACAAATATATTATTGACAGGCCAGGGCGGAGCCGGGTTTGCCAACTAGTTTTTTCTAAAAAAGACCT